CTTGTTAATTTAATCAAAGACCACGAAATGCCGTTGTGGAACAACACCTCGTATCTCACGGTTGAAATAATGTGAGACATAAGTACAGTACTAAATTCTAGCGACTACTAGAGAACGATTGAAATTATGCTTTGGATATTTAACTGAATCTGAACTAAAGTATATGGATACAACGGTGATAAGACATATCAAAACATATGCAGGACTAATGAAACCCTGATATACTAATGATCTCATATTACACACAAGAAAAAGAATTTAAGAAGCTTCTTTTAAAAATTAGATCATATATGAGTGTGCAAAGTTGCGAGATAACTTTCAAATCTGCTGGAATAGCGAATAAAAAGCAAAGTCAGGCCCTAGCCAAGTAATGATTTTGGACACCAATAAAGACAAAAAAATGAGGAATCGGAAAAAGGAGAGATAAATTTAATAAATGACTAAGGCAAGATTAAATTGAGGAAAAGAGCTTACAAACTTTCCATGCCCAGTGGACTTTGAACCAGGAAGGAGAGGATGATAGAGACTAAAGTAACGTCGATAGCTATTGAGTGCAATCACAGTTCCCATACAATTGCTGGGGCGAAGGAAATTTCCGAAGGTCGCATGATCAACATCATCTCGGCCGCAACTCGTACTGCTCGACTTCAGAGGAGAGTGCGAAGTTGTCGCGCCCACGGACAAGCCTGTAGCCATTCGTAACAGGGCGGCAAGCCATCCGGAGTAGAAGTCGAGGCAAAGGCTAGCCTGAATGATACCAGTATCGCTATGAAATATAAATCAAGTAAATATATTTATTAGGTGTAATTAAGTCAATTTACCAATAGTCCAAAAATCACTAAGATTCACATAATCTCTGTTTGCCCTACCAAGTGAATGGGAATAAAATGAGCGTAGAAGTAAAAATATGACCATAGGATCCACCAGAAAAACTGAAAGAAAATTTTCTTGAGGTCGTGATCAGCGACTGCAACTTCGATGATTCTGTGCTGAGCTTTTTTCCGTCATACGGGGAACATGGTCAAAGCTAAAAAACGTTCCTCAATAAAATCCATAAAACATAAATTAGACAAATTATGATTAATATAAGATGTATTCACTCTATTTCGTTCAAGGTGATGAAGGACTCAAGTTGAATTTCCGCACATTTATATGAGTAGGGCTGACATTTATATTGAATTTTACATAGCCTTACTTTCCTAAAAGACGCTCTCATCCAGGGTGGACTGCAGTTTTGTCCTCGCCGAGGTTTTATAAACAACCTCAGTGGGACTCGAACCATAACAGTGCATCGTATAATCTCTACACGTTAACAGTCACGCCACATTGCCACAAGTGTTCTTGGGTCACAGTACAGATGTGCATTTCAAAGAAGGCCTGGCATTTTCCCATATTGTATCCTTTGGTGAAAGTGTCGATGAAGCAAAGTTATATTTGCTATAGCAATCGACTACATTACTTACTTTTCGTTTATAAGTATGGTTTGGAGACTATAGCTCACATAATTGATTTACTTGTATTCTCGAAACTCTACTTAAATACGAAAAATAAATAATGTAATCAATTGTTAAAGCAAATATAACTTTGCCTCATCGACATTTTCACCAAAGAATGCGATATTGGAAAATGCCTGGCCTTCCTTGTAATTCACATTTGTCCTGTGTACTGGCAGTGTGGCGTAATGGTTAACGCTACACGCTACACTATCATGGTCAAGTACCACTGAGGGTGTTGATAACAACTAGACGAGGTCGAAACTGTAAACAACCATAGGTGAGGATACCTTTTAGGAAAGCAAGGCTATGCGAAATTCAATGAAAGCGTCAGCTCAACTCATATGATTGTGGGAAAATTCAACTATTAGTCCTTCAACATCTTAAACGAAATAGGGTGAATACATCTCATATAACTGATTTACTGGTAGTCTCGAAACGATAATTTTAAACAAAAAATATCGTGATTAAGTTTGTCACTTCATGCTTCTCCCACGTGCTTACAGATGGATCAACTTGATACGGATTTAACAGAGCATCCATTTCCTTAGTCATATTAGCATTGGTTCCATCCTGTAATAGTGAAGCAGGTATGTACAGAGGACTCACTAGTAAATTTGGAAATTGGAAGCCTAAATACATTCAGGATCTTCTGAAATTCACTCAAAAAGCATGCATTAAGTGTATTAGTGGACAGTTTTTAACTAATTTTTAATGGGAAAAATTTGAACCGATTAAAGAGAGTCGTATACGCATTTATTAGTATTTGGCATGCAAAACAAATTAGTATGAGGAAAGGAACGCTTAGGGTAGAATAAATAACAAAATGTATTTGCAGAATGACTGACTGTCATTTTTGTGGATATGAATATCAAAATACTGTGGTCTTCTGTTTGGTGGAAGTCACATTTAGCTAAATAACGTTAACTAAAATCTTGTTTAAGAAATTATCACCTAGTCTGAGTCAAAAAGTGTTTACAAGACAGCTTTCCAAGTCATTTACCGAAGATGTCTGCAAGTGATCTGCGAAAACCTCTCTGACAACCGCTTGCCAGAATTTGAGCTTGTAACACAGATTATCAGGAGACGTTGGCCCATTGGTGCAGAGAGAACGAGACGGTCGTAGGTTGAAGGGTTTAGACTGATGACCACTGATGCGGAGTCTCTGTAGATGAGGACAAGAGATGAACGAATGAGAAATAAAGAGTAAAAATCTAGTGGTAAGAGGAATCTAGAAGAAAGTTGCATATTCCCTAGTCAGGTAGCCTGATGTATCGTGGAACGTTTGTCGAGGGATTGGCTTCACTTGTCTCTTTGAAGAGTTCGTAGCTTAGTGCGGAGAATGGCAAAACTCACTGATGATGCCAACTACGATGCCGGAGAAACGTTTGAGAATGTATCAAGTCCACTGTCAGATGCTTGGAATCAAGACAACTACTATGGCAGACGAC